ACCACAATGGAGAACTGAACCCTTCCCAGGTTACCTACACCCTTACACATTCTTTATACAATCCATTTTACCAAGAAGTAGTGGAACATTGACTTGACTAGTGTAAGACCTTTTTGACAAACCTGGTACTTTTTATTGTAGTTATTGTGTTACCAAATTAACATGCACAAGTTGTAAAGAATGGTCCCAGTGAGCCTGAAACTGGGTGTGCCATAACATTTCATTAAGAGCTGTTTAATATGAAATGTCACCACCTGATTCAATCAAAGAGAGAGTTTCAGGTATAGCCTCTATTTGATTTATAACACTGAACCATGAACATTATTCTGTTTTCCAGGAGTGCTACCAATCTAACTTGCCCTCCAGCCAGCCCCACAGAAACCACCTACTGACTCGCAGCCACAGCACACTTGCTATTGCTTATTTTCCCCTCATCTTATTATTTTATCTGTAACTAGAGTTGTATCACAAATACATGATTCTGAAAAACTGAGACCAGCAATAAGACTGACCTATCCTTTTTAAATACATAAGCAGCAAAAATTTACTGTTTTAAAAAAATAACATAAAAGCTAATTTAGAAGCCAGTTAAACTCCAGGTATGTCTTTAAAAGATGTAGATGAAACAAATGCCAGTGCAATAAACACAAGCTTCAAAGTCACTTTCGCTGTAAATAATACTCAATACTGTAATCTTGCTAAATCTGCTGAGCTGAAGTTGTAATAAAAAGTAAAATCTACTGCAAATTAATTTGTGAAATGTTGTACTATGCATTATTTCAATCATCTCCTACATGGTATGACTTAGCAAAAGGGACTGACCTACATGTCTTGAGATTGTCTGTATGTCTGACATGTTTTAAAAGGATCCATGATTAGTTGTAACATTAGACTTTGTTTAATAAACATATATTTTAACTGTAAAATAAAGACTGTAAAAATACAGTAGGATGTTCAGTTTTTATCATTTAAACAAAAAGATGAAAAATATATTACACGGATGGATGCCATTTTATTTACACGCAAAGCATTCTGGGTAAATGATAACGTGGGTAGGTCCTCTGTGCGAGGCTGCTAGCGAGCTACATCCACCCTGAAGGTTAATCTTGGACAATATCTGATGATTGGCTCTTTTAAATGAAACCAGAGAGCGTTGACAGAGAGGAGAAGGTAGAAATGACTCAGCCTGTAACTGAAAATATYGATGGAGGACAACAGAGCTGCTTCATGGAAGAAGAACCTCAGCTTAGCCTGTTAGCTTTAGCATTAGCCCCGATGCTATCACCATTTATATGTATTAGCTCAGCGCTACACATTCTCCTCTCATCACTGAGATCATCCATCCACATGACAGAGGGGAATGCAAAAAATGACTCAGGCTGCAACTGAAATATAGATGGAGGACCTCAGTTTAGCTCGTTTGTCACCTTGAGCTAATACATGTAAGGCAATATAGCAATATAGCTAGCGCAAATGCTAACAGGCTATGCTGAGGTTCTTCTTCCATGAAGCAGCTCTGTTGTCCTCCATCCATATTTTCAGTTACAGGCGGAGTCATTTCTACATTCTCCTCTCTGTCAACGCTCTCTGGTTTCATTTAAAAGAGTCGATCGTCAGATATTGTCCAAGATTAACCTTCAGGGTGGATATAGCTCGCTCACACCGAGCACCTATCCACGTCATCATTTACCCAGAATGCTTTGCGTATAAATAAAATGGCTCCGTCCGTGTTAAAATATACTTTAAAAATTTTACAAAACTAAAACATCCTACAGTATTTTCACATTATTTATTTTACAGTTAAAATATATGTTCATCAAATAAAGTCTAATGTTATAACTAATAAGAGATCCCTTTAAGAGAAGCTTACTTTTGATATTCCTTCAAAACAAGAGATTAGGGTTGGGCATAATCGTATCATGTGCAATTAATCGCCAGAAAAACATTAATCGATTAATTTTTGGCACTTGACAATTAATACGATTAATGCCACCAGGCAGACTAACTGCTTGGTGCTCCTCTCTGATTCAAATATGACCAACATTTTAAAAAATTGTGTAATTTATTTATCTATCAACACAATTTAAAGTTTGATGTGTAGCCTAAAGTCTGTAGTTTTGACACAATTTGGAACAGATTTTTACGAAGAGCCAATTTTCTCCCTATAAATTGATCATGTGACTAGGATATAAGGGTGTCCAGGGACTCCAGGGGATTAATCGTCAAATTAATCGTTATCGGCTAAATACCACAATTAATCGTGATTAATTTTTTTGTCAATATTGCCCAACCCTACAAGAGATGCATCTGTTTTTATATCTAATATTATTATGAAATAAAATATTTAAAATTAAAACATGTAGAGTATAAAACAAAGCTATTTTCTTTCTCTTTCATTTTGGTTATTGCATGGGCTGACCTCTAGATAGACTTTCTGGGAATTTCACTCTTGGGGATTTTCTATCAAGACTACACCGTCTTACTTTACAAAGATGAACTCAAAATAGTTTAAATTGCACTATAACACTTTCCAAAAGCTGCCTGCGTAAAATGGATGCTGAAACATTTCCCCTTAATTTTGTGGTTACACATTTGAATGATCCTGAAAAACACTAAATTCTGTATGTAATACATTAGAAACTATAATATCTGTTGTGTTCTTGTGTTTGTAACACTTTAAAAATCACATAGATCAAAAGCTTCACAGAATGTATTGACTAAAATAGTCACATCTCATTACGCGTCTGCTTTGTTATTCCAAAAGACAGACAATGAAAAACAACTGCCAAGTTGATTCTGGTGCAAACAAGCAATACAGCAGGCGATAGTGCCCAAAAGACAAACCACTGCTGAACCACCTCAAACCACAAAGAGCAAATATATCTAAGGACAAAAGTGGCAAATCCCATCCCTGAAGGGAATGCATTCCAGGGTTGGCTCTCAGTGAGGAAAAGTGTTGAGCTTTATTTGGCTTTATCATAATGGCTGAATTTCATCCAAGGATAAGTTTGCCACAGCGCAGAGGAGATCTGACCGGACATTTCTTCTTTAACTACACAATGTGGGAAAACTCTGTTGTAGGGCTTTGTATTCTCTGGCTACTCGGCATCGCTGCGGTTTTATTTGCCTGCCTCATCATACTCAAATCTCTTTTGACTGTCCATCAAATATCACAAGCATTCAGATCATGGTACTTGTACCAAGCAGCAACCATATCCACAAGGTTGTGAGTCATAACATATGTCTTTAAATGCAGAAAAACAAAAAGTTACGGAGGCATCTGCTGGAGCTACCACAATGTTGTTTACAAAGTTTACTGTATATGTCTTTTTATGGAAAAATAACATCACAGCCAAGCAACGTACAGTCATAAATCTTTACAGACATTATGTAACTGAGATCAAAAGATAAGATGAGTATAAGAAGGGTGTGAGCCAGCCATTGCTCTCTCTGCCTATTTGGTTGGCAAAACAATGGTTTTGGTGAAAATGGTCTAAATAAAGAAAAGTCTGGATGCATTTGTTTTCAACGTACACACACATATCCATCCTTATTGCCCTTACTGATAAAGCATTTTATACACTTTGGTTTTATGTAGTATTACAACAGATTTTCTTACGTCCAACTGCATTTTATAAATTAATCAATCACAAGAACATGCACAACAAATTTAAATGTAAGATTATAAAACAAAAATCTGGAAGGATAAAACTGATCTAATTTACAAAAACAGCAAAAGTACTGGTTGATTTCTTTCACACACATCAACAGGAAGTTACCAAACATTGTTTGACTGAACCATCCTTCAGAAGAGCATCATTAGTATTAATAAACTGATGAAAAAATTCAACTGCCTGCCTCTGAGTATAAATTACCACAGTAGATGAACTCACTCAGAAGTGGAAAAACAAAATTGTTGACAGCAGAAACTAAAAACATATCCATATTTCACTCTTGAAGCTTCCTAACACAATTACTAATTGACGTAAGGAATGCTGCAGGGCTGACTTAGATAAAGGGCTTTATACTGCAGTCAGTGTCTCTGCAAACACATTCAGGGAGTAAGATTAAGTTTTACTAGCAAAAACAAACCCTGGATTTCTGATCAATGCAGAAAGCTGCAAATATATAGTTATAAGCTACAAACTGAAACTAATGCATGTTGTAAACGTCACATGTGATGTGTTTTAAGTAATAAAAAGATACAATATTTTCCTTTTTATCGTGTTAAAAATGTGCACAATTGTCATTAAATAGTCTAACAGAAACAATCTGTGTAAAAACTACTATGAACTTAAAAGCTGTAAAGATCATTTTTACAGGCTTACACCAAAACAATTTCACTAAAACTGTTATCTGGACCTTATCAATATAAAGAAGTGACAAAACAGATCACACTTACCAGGTTTCTTCCCACTTATAAGCTTCATGTTTGGCAAAATAAATGCTCTCAAGTACAAAACGCTACATGAAAGAAGGCAGTTGTTAAAAACGTCTTTTGTCACTTTTGGGCTGTAAACTTTAACAGCATGATCTTAAACCTCATCATTAGGACCATAAGGTAAGGGGTTGAACTTCTGGCTCATTCATCCTTCCTCTTTTCGAGAGTCGTGTTCTGATTGGCTGTAACAAGACAGGCCCACTTATCAGGAGCTTTTTCACCACCGGGAACTGACCAATCACAGACCTCCAAATGCAACCTGAGGGTCCATAACACAAAAAGAGATCTCCCTGACGACTGCAGACAGGCTGGACTGAACGGCCCAGCGAGACACTGAGAAATGACTAAACATCGTTCAAAAGCACTGCTTATTTATAAAACTTTAACAAAATTAAACGCATATAATGATACTTCGATGAGAGGGGTGTCAGCGGTCTCACTGCAACATCACGATGTCACGACGATTGTGCAAACCCTGCAACAACCGGCTTGTGTGACACAATAAGTCCACATAAAATAAATGTTGCAACTAAGAAAAAAAAAAGTCATTTGTCCTTACGAGGTCTGTTTCGTTTCACCGACTCCGTCCTGCTCCTCCGCAGCCGGCACCTCTTTGCCGGGGACCCGTTGCACTCCTTGTCATCCCCGCGCTGCAGATGATGCATGCCGCTGTCAAAAGTGCCGCCGCTGCCGGATCCCCCGGTGCTCAAGCCGAATGCGTTGTTGCTGCAGCAGTTAGCGGCTACGGTGACGTGGCCGCTGTGAAACCCCCTCTGGCCGTTGTTCGCGTGAAAAGGTCCCGGCGTCCCCTTCTTGTCCGCCAGTGGCTTTGCTTTCTCCATGACGGCGGCGAGCGACTAGCCTAGCCTAGCTTTAGCATCTGCGGGAAAACAGAGCGGAGAAACTCGACTGCCCGGGCTAGCTTAGCTTAGCTAGGTAATAAATGAGGCAGCCGCGTGCGACCAGCGAGCACCGTTTTCACCTTGAGAAACCAAACAAAATGTCGCCGTGCATTTTTAACGAACGCGGAGTGACTGAACTGGCGCACTCGTTAAAATACAGCGTGTCCTTTGAGGTCACTCGCGGTCATTTCTCATTGAGCTCAGCAGCAGTCGATATGGGGCGCGCGCGCGTGTTTGTGTATGTATGTGTGTGTGTGTTGGACGGCTACGTCACACCACAGCTCAGCTACTCCAGTCGAAGCCGAACCCGTTTTCCTCCCCTGACCGGTTTTCTCTGTTCTCGTTCTCTGCAGTAAAACTACACCGCGATTATTTACTTGATCAAAAGTACAAGAACGGACTGGTCACGTGTCGACTTTTGTACTTTCAGTGTCATTAATCTAAAATCTGCAGCACCAGTCGGCACAGCTGTGGCTTCCTATTTATAAGCCTCGCTGTCCAAAGCGTGATATGCGTGCTCCAAACTGCGTGTTTAGCTGGTAGATCATTCACCAGAATGAACTTAAGTAACCCCCTGATTTTGTTAAAAGCACACTCAGAAGTTAAAAAAGTGAAAACTTTTTTTAGGAATACCCAGTAATATGTCAAAGATCTGATGTCAAACTGAGCTTGATAACGCACCCTTCAGTCAGAATGCAAAGGTCAAACATGCAGTCCCAGCTTGATAAAGCAAAACAATCACTTAAAGAAGCCCTGTCTCTTTTATTTTTGATGAAAAAAAGTTTTATTATTGACTCGATGAAATATCAACAGAATGAAAAATACAAATGAAAATAATAATTGTGAATAAATCTACAATTAAGGCTACTCATTTAGGTGTAAAAACACATTTAAAAGATCTAGAAAGCTACATGTCTAAAAGCATAAAAATGTCATACATTATCACTCTCAGCTACTACTACATCCAATTTGAGCTCAACATCTGCAAATTTAACTGAATTATATTATTGGTTTTCCTCAGATCTACTGACTGTGGCAGTTATCTTGAAAAGTTAAATCAGTTGTCCATGTGGTTCATCATGAGATATTTTACTAACAAAATTTATTCCAATAGAGGCAATGTGAAAAACAAATAAAACATTTTGTGTGATCAGTACAGAAACAGGCAAAAAAAAAAAAAAACATTGCTCTTTCACCTTTAGCAGTAGCCAGCAGGTGTAAACAGAGACAAGCTTCAAACAATCTTTATCACTAATAAGATCAATGCAACGTTTTAAAGAAAAATCTCTTTATTACTCATAGTAAAAGATAATAAAGTGAGTTTCGTATTGTAGTGGGTAAAGAAACACCAAAATATAAATTATTTATCAAACAATCAGGAAAAGTCCTATTGGACCCTGTATATTGCTCTCCTCGGGTTAAAGAGTGCTAATACTGAGACATTAAAAGGATCAGAATATGTATTTTATTGTCATTGTTACAATTAGAATAAAATTTGCCTAGTGGTGTTAAAAACTACAACAAAATAAACAAAGTTAAACAGTCACACAAGCATTCATTTAACAAATTAAAGTGAGTTACAAACATGAAAACAAAAATCAGCGTTGCATTAATTCTATCACTTTAAACAATTATGCGGAAAGGTGTGTTTTCTGTTTGTTAGTCCTTTATTCATTGCTCCTGCATGTCCTGTCTGATGACAGAAAGTTGGAACAGATTCTTACCTGGGTGCAGGGAGTCACTTAACCCTCCTGCTGCCCTTAGGTCAAAATGAGCCACAAGGCCTCAGAGAAGCAGGAGGGTTAACATAGTTTTGGCTCACCTGTGGCAGTTCTGCAGTTCTGTCCAGAGAAGGTAAGTGACTGCTGGTGACCTCCAGGTCAGTATTTAGTGTACCTGAAGTGTTTTTGTCTGAGCCACACTGTGCAGCAGGAGAATCAGAGCCAGCAGAACATACTGCTCTCAATGGAGCAGCAACAGGACAGCGGCCATTTTTGAGGGATGTTATTTTCACAACAGAAATGTGTGCATTTTAAACTTCTCTGAATCAAGCGTAGGATCAACATCAACATGAATCTAATTTGTACAAGTGTAGTGCGTTAGCTAAAAGTGAGATAAATGAACTCAAAAACCAAGATTTTGTGGAAATTAGGACAAGAGCTAAAAAAAATACACAATCCTTTTCTTTCGTACTGTATGAGAAACTCTAAACTACCTTGCTTTTCAAGCTGAACATAGTTTAATTTTTCAGTTTAAACTTTTTATTATGTTTGATATGTTTCATTCGCAATATAATCAAAGTTTGAGACTGGTAGTATAAAACAAATTATTTAAATGCAACTCGAGCTGAAAGTTGACATTTTAATGGTGACAATGCAACAAAAGCTATTTGCCGCATTACAGTAAGTCAACTTCATAATATCAGAGCTTTTTAAATGTTCAGACAGCACAGAGAAAGGCTTATCCTGCTGCAAACATTATTTAATAGTTCAGAAGAAATCACACTTTCTTCTCAAGGCCTTTAACATCTTGAAATAAATACATTTTAGATTAAATTTATAGATATTACACACTGTTAAAAATTTCACCCTCGTTTAGTTATACTCGCTTGCTACTTCTCTTTAACACAAAGAGCTCTGACAAGTTTTGGATTTTTAACTCAACTTTACGAGTCTTAAAATATAAAACTTATAGTTATCCATTGTGTTAAMTATTTGAGAAATTTGTCAGATTTACAAGTGTTGACTGAACTTGAGTTTGTAAGTCACCAGTTAAAAAAAAGGAGAGGGAAAAAGGCGGGAAAGCAAAACAAAGTTATTTATTGTGTTAACTATTTGGGAATTGATATGATTATCCAGCATTCCTTGCTGAGAAATCATATAGAAATGATGTGTTTGTTTATGACTAAAGACGTTCAGGAGTGTTAAAATTTTACTGTTAAACTTTTGGGTGTTGATTTAACACCACCTAGTATTATTTTAACACTTTCTGAGTACACTCACACTGTTGGTGTTAATTCAGTGTTGATTTCTTCAGTGTTGTCTCAACACTGGACAGTGTTAAATAAGCTCCGCCCACAGTTAAGTCTTACAACACTTAACAGTGTTGTTATATAACACCATGCAGTGTTGAAAGAAGCATTCTGAAAAGCCCCGCCCTCTTCCACCTCATGTCAGACAAACCAGCATTTACCCAGCATTCCTTGCTGAGAAATCTTGAAGAAATGATGTTTTTACATGTTTCTGACCATTAAAGATGTTCATGAAAGTAAAATTAGTTGTTCTGGTTAGTTTTCTTGTTCAGTTTGATCAAGTTGTTCAACTTTAAGTTTATGTTATTGGCCAAAAATCAACACCATGAGTGAGAGGTATGTTCTGGTGTGTGAAGGGTGACTCCATTATACTTTTCTACTAACTACTTAGAGTTTGATATTAACACTGAGTGTTAAATTTACACTCTCAATATGGTGTATTGACACCTTCTGGTGTCTGTAAACCTTTATAACACCACAATTTCCTTTGTTAATAATAATAATATGCTGGTGATACTTTTAACACTTTATTTCAACGCTGTTGAAATGTTAATAAGACACCCAGTATTGTTGAATATTTAACACTGGACGGTGTTACTGTTAACACTACATTTTAACACTAACACTGTTTTATGTTAATGTGACACCAAGAATCGTTGAATATTAAACACTGGTTGGTGTTAAATTAACAAAAAAAATGAGTGTAAAAATTGAACACTTTCACAAATGTTATTTTAACACCAGCGAGTGTGGACACATATAGACACTTTGTTGGTGTTAAAATTAACACTGTGGGTGTTAAATTAACACTGGCATTTTTGCTGTGTAAAAATTGGTTGTTCTGGTTAGTTTTCTTGTTCAGTTTTATCAAGTTGTTCAACTTTAAGTTTGTTATTGGCCAAAAATTGACACAAGTGAGAGGTATGTCCTGGTGTGAAGAAAGGTGACTCCAACTACTGAGTAGTAGAGTTAATGCAAAACAGTTTGATATTAATTCTGAGTGTTAAATTTACACTCTCAAATATATGGTGAATTGATACTTTGCAGTGTCTGTTAACTTTAACACCATCTATCATGTAAGTCGAAACAAATTTGGAATTTAAATTCTTAGCTTAAAATGTAAAAATCACATCATTTTAACTCAACTAGTGAGTTATATTAACACAGAAATGTGTGTTTGTTCAACTAGCTAAGGAAAGTTTATCATGTTGATGATGTTTAATTTTTAATTGTTTCAAATCACAGACTTAAGTTAAAACAACTAGTGATTAACAGTTAAATCAGCTTTGACACAACAAAAACAATGTAGTGCAATCAACTTTTTAAACTTTAACTTCTGAGTTAAAACAAGGATATTCCTCAAGTTAACATGCATTTTTAAGGCAGCAGGTGGACTTTCATTTGCAAGTTTAACTGACTTGAAACTTCGTACAGTGTAAAATCATAAGAATTGGTCCCAAAGTTACACTGAAAATTGCAGTATCTAACATACTGCAATTTTCAGTCTGAGGTGTTCAGTGTTTGGAAAGCACAAGATCAACTTTGACATACAGTATGTTCTGAAAGCAAAATATATATTTTTATCTTGTTCTACAAGTATCAGATAAGTGTTACAATTGTAGTGTGCATTTCATTTTGTCCTCTAATATCAAGTTAGGGATTTTCCACATGTTCTTGGTCTTCTGAAGTCCCTCAGGCTGTATCGAACTCACAGCGTGTTTGAAATGACTTCGACGATCAAACATTCGTCTGCAGACGGTGTTTTAGGTCTTTTTCCATTTGTTGAAACCGGTTCCACTGACTTGACTGACTGCATAACATCTGAATGAGATATTCAGTGGAAAACATTTTCTATGCTGCCTGTGCATTTTGTTGTCACTGACACACACACACACACACACACACACACACACACAC